TGAACCTCACCTTTCAGTGAACCATGGAAACCATCCCAGAGAGCTGCGAGCTCCCCCGGTTGGAGGCTGCTGAGCTGACACATGGGTTCTCATCTCAAGAAACTGCAGAGAGAAAGCAGGAAGAAGCAGGGACTGGGCAGGACAGCACACAGGAAATTAAGGTCCCGCTTCTGTTTGAATAGTTGGAATTGCATGAAGATGCTATCTTCCCAAAGTATAATGGGATTGGGGCAGGGAAAAGGGAGGTGCCCTGAGGAGAGAATATTGCTGTGCCTAATTAAACAGGAAGCAATTTATTACTGTTTAACATGCTGCTCAGAGATCTGAGGTTGTACGTTCTTAATTTGATATTCTGGATAGTCTTGAAAAATTGAAGAATTGGTTTCAAAGATCTTCCTTTTGCCAGTCCTTTGACTCCCTTCTAATATTCAGCATCAATATTTAGCATGACATCTGAATAATCACACTGGTCTAAATTGATTTCTCTGTTTGACTCAAGATGAAAGCAAACTGTTCTGATTTTAATTAATGATCGTCTTTGTATCCCTACGGTTACTGCCAGATAGATGGGCTAATGGGCACAGAAACTGCTGCTGCTACTGAATTACCATCTATGCACAGGAAAAGATGCTGTGTGTTCAGTTTGCATCCTGATGGGGAAGATCTTGTTCATCTCTTGGTTTACACACAACAGAATGAACCATAAATGAAAGTGTTTTAGGCAAGGTGTTCTGCAGGATAGGGATGGGGGGAGACAGGAGAAATACCTCCTGTTCCCAACCTTTGGTAGTCTCACCAACCACTGATCTTGGGTGATCTTCCTACCTCTGCGGCTGTTTCCTCTTGCCTCTTTTTACTCTTTTAACTACTAAAGTGTTAGGATGTTTAGGGTAGAATCTTCCCATGTATGTTCCATGCCTTAGCAAATAGGATTTTAATCTCGTTTGGTCTAGTAGACACTGAGTCAATATTTATTGACAGTCTTCTACACTAACTCTAATTAAATGGCTTTTTCCATTTAACCATTTCTTTCTCCTGTTTCCATCCTAAAGCATGGTATCAGATGGTTACTCCAGTACATGCCTAGGATTTAACTTTCTCTTCCTTTCTGCAAATTATTCAAAATATTCATGGTGAATGCTGTAACTTGGTGAGAAATATCAGCTACAAGTGTAGAGTAAGATGTGTGTTACCAGGGAGGAACTGAAAGGTGACTTAATGTTCTGTGTTTTACCTCTTCATTATGTTTCTTTTGTCAGGTTTGCATATGTGTATAAATAGCAGAAAACTATAGTAAAGTAGGTGTGCTTTGCTGGAATCACTTTAAAGATTGCTCTAGAAGTCTTAGAAGTGAATGAAAAATTAACTTTTTTTTTTTTTTTGGTAGTAGAGCCTGAACTGCCATTCTGATTTGGCATCTAATGCTGCTTCCTATTTCACCTAAAATTTTCATACTTAATTTCTACAGTTTCAGTGAGAATGTTTGAGGCATGTGTATAAGGCCAGAGAGAACACTTCTAAAAGTATTTTAAAATAGTAGAAAAAACAAATTCCTTAAATGGCTTGAGAAGGGGGTTACAGTATAACGACAAATATACTTACTGGTTTTTACACAGCCCCCAGTGCTTCCTTGAGATGTTTTATGGTGGGACTAGTTTGTTCAGAAACTAAACACACTGATCATGAACACTGGCATTTGCTTTAGTTTTATTTTCTACTGAAATATCGCTGTGAAATGACAGATACTGGAAACACAGTTTACTACAAAGCTGGCTTAATGGTCATCAATTTCTGTTTCCTTCAATTTAGTTTTCCTGTGGAGAATGAAAATTACTGGTCTAGCCAGAGTTCAGGAAGATTTTCTCTGGGCTAACAATGAGCAGAAAACTGTGAGTTGCTGATGTGTCTGAATTCTTTCCTTGATGGCAGTTTAACTGACTCCCTGACATAAAACAAAATTAGTAACAGTTCAAATGCGTAATCTTTCCTCTGGTTAG